AGTCGGATAAACATCCCATGAACTGGCCCGTGATTAATACTTGTGCGCAACACATGGTCTGAGGATTCTCTATCCGCACACATGTATACGAGGTGTGACACAAAAAACGAGGCTAAGTGTGTAGCTTGAAAAAAGAGTGGAGTGGGCACCAATTGTTTTGGTGACGTCATGTTACACACCTCCTCTATCCACGAGGCCAGTTTCGACTTAACCGATCACGCCAGTTGGGTATTTCTCTTGTGGTTGATAGGGCTGCGATTCTTTCCCCTCGCTCTTGATTGCCGTTACTCTGCTAACTGCTCGCATATTTCTGCACTTGTTGGCACATACAGAAGGTTTGTTCCTGTTGAACCTTGTGTTCTTGGGATTGTAAAAGGTCCTTGCGTGCCCTATTTCTTGCCTAGCTCTAATTTTCTTGACTTGGAATTGATCTGGAAAATGTCAATTATTCAGCAAATTGTGGATCGCTTTCATGCACTGACTTCCAGGAATGAGAGCCTGACCCCCTATGAGCAAGTTGAATTGGCATTCCTGAACAGATTTATGGATATAATACATAACACGGAAAGAGATTTGGCCTCTCAATCTGAGTCTAACCATTCTAACGATGTGGATTCAAGCATGGAATGGATTACCCCCAGCCACAGTGTTAAACGGCCGCTCAGCCCTGAAAAGTCAGCCGAATTGGATTTGAAAAACAAATACCATGTGCTAACTCAGCTTCCTCCCGAAAAAGCTCATACCCATGGTACTGAACGGAGTACTCACTCAACTACCCAAGGCGATGTTGCAGTAAAACGCAGGATGAAACCGAGGGCTGCAAAAGCTGATGATTCATCCAAAAAGCCGAATGAAATCTCCTCCACAAACCCATCTAAAGTAGCGACCAGTAGCCACGCTAAAGTGGCGCCATCTAGTGAATCCTCCGAGAAGCCGGCTGCAAGTACGTCCCTGACGGAAAGCATGGTGCGGCCTATCGGAAATACAGATGAGGTCACGTGCCCGGCTGGGCAAATAAGTGATGCTCATGTATCTGAAGAATTTAAGTTTCCGAAAAGAAGTTCGAAGCTTCCGCCGATTGTCATTAAGGATTCAAACTGGAAATGGAAGGATATTACTGATCTATTGGATAACTCCGGCTACAGTGAATTTAATGCAAAGATGAAAGCCGTAGCGTAGATGAATTTGAAATCAAAGTCAATTCCAGTGAGACTTATCGTAACATCACGGACCTCCTTGACGACAAAAAGATTAAATTTCATTCATATCAGCTTGCTGAAGACAAAAACATCAAAGTCGTCATTCGTAGCCTTCCGATTGACACCCCAGTTACGGATATCCAAGATGCTCTCATTGCAGAAGGATACGCTGTTAAAAAGGTTGTACAAATGTCTCGCCGAAAAGGTCCTGAAATTGCCCCCATGCCTCTATTCCTGATCTTGCTAGAAAGGAATGAGAAAACCAAGGACATTTTTAATAATCTAAAGTATCTTATGAGGCTAAAGATAACAGTTGAAAGATACAGAGGTAGACGCGGTATCACGCAGTGCTTCCGATGCCAAGACTTTTACCACGCTCAAAGTCAATGCCGTCACGCACCACGGTGTGTCAAATGTGGTCAGGGGCATGAGTCTCGTGACTGCACCAAGCCCAAGGATGTGCCACCAAAGTGCTGTCATTGCGGACTTCCTCATACTGCCAGTTTTAAAGGTTGTTCGTTCTACCCCAAGCCTCGCTCATCCTTTGTGCAAAAAGGCATATCATATGCAGATAGAGTAGTCAACAATAGTAATGCTACTCCCCCACAGATGGCGCCACAAGCAACCTTCCCACAACTCAGTGAGCTTCAAGCAAAGCTCGACGAAGCTAATGCGGTAATTCAAAAGCTCACAACAGCCATCTCTATGTTTGCTGATGTAGCGAAGGCACTTCCTACCGCCTCTATGATAGAGGACACAGTCAGGCCAGCTTCCCCCAACCATGGATAATCCCACCTCCCGGCAAAGTTCTCCTGTTAAGATCCTGCTCTGGAACGCGCAGAACGTTACCTCCAAGATACCGGAACTTCATGAATTTATCCAGCAAAATGACGTAGACATCTGCTTAATTACAGAAACCCATGCTAACCCTTCGCACTCCTTAAGGATAGCCAATTATTTCAGCTACCGTAGTGACAGACTCCACCACCGTGGTGGCGGAGTGCTCATTTATGTTAAAAGGACATTTGATTCATATCTGAAAAGTGCAGAAAATTGTGATGGAATGGAAAGTGTTAAAGTGATGGTGAATCTACCCAACATTGGGGATGTCACTTTCTGTGCGGTGTATAACCGCCCTGGGAACAAGCTCAGTGCTGAAATTCTGGATAGACTTATTAACTCAGACTCCCCACCTTTCTAGGTGGCGATTTAAACGCCAAGCATCTCGACTGGGGATGCCGCAACTCGAATTATAATGGACGCATAGTGCATGATTTTGTGTGTAATTACCCTGTCTTTCTGCATGTGCCGGATGAGCCTACCTATAGGCCAAATATACTCAACCATCGGCCTGACATTCTGGATATTTTTATTACGACGTTCAATATTCCTATGGCTATTACGGTAACATGTGACATGTCTTCTGATCATGTACCTGTGCTTGCTTACCTTGGAGTGGAAAATGCTAAGAACCTACCGCCAATTAAGCATACTGATTGGAATCTTTATCATAATACTTTGATGACCACTGATTTTAATTGTGACTCGTTACAAAGCACTTCGGATATTGAACGTGCTATAACAGACTTTACTTCGTACCTGCATTCTGCTAAGTCCCTAGCTACGACTGAGGTTGACCGTGTCAGACATGAGCACACGCTTCCTGCCAATATTCGCGAAATAATCTGCTTTCGAAATCATCTCCGAAAGGAATTTAAATCTCAATCCTGCTATCAAAACTCAAAACTCAAATTAACAGGCTTAATAGGAAAATCAAGCAAAAGATTCAGGACCATCGTTCTAGCTTACGGCAGGTTAACATAGATCAACGACGAATCTGGCGCCATACAAGGACACTAAAACGCCCCTGCTCTGCCAGAAAACCGCTTAAATGCGATAACGGATTTGCTTACTCCGATCAAGAGAAAGCGGAACTTTTTGCGGAACACCTTTCTAAACAGTTCATTCCAAATTCCTTCCCCTCAGATCATAGTTCGGACATTCACGTTCATTACCTTAGCGATCAATGGCTGCACTCCCCTTCTACGGAACCTTCTATCAAACTAACCACGCCGCACGAAGTGCAGAACATTATTAAGGGACTTAAATTAAAGAAAGCTCCAGGAAAGGACAAGATCACGAACCAGATGCTGAAAAACATGCCTTTTAAGACCGTATGCAAATTAACAGGCATTCTCAATGCATGTTTGTATCAAAATTATTTCCCGCTTTTCTGGAAGCAAGCAAGCATCCTGATGATTCCTAAGCCAGGGAAAACACAGGATTACCCGGCCAAACTTTAGACCCATCAGCCTGCTGTCCTCCATAAGCAAGATCCTGGAACGTATTATTTATCTCAGAATGCAAGAAAACTTGGACTTTCTCGTTGATCACCAGCACGGTTTCCGGAAAGGACTTTCGACCACAACGCAGTTAGTCAGGCTCACGGAGTTCATCGGCGCGGCTATGCACAACAGAATGAGTGTTGCTATCCTGATGCTAGACGTGGCAAAGGCTTTTGACCGCGTCTGGCATCCAGGGCTAATCTATAAGCTAATTCATCTCGGTTTCCCCAGAAATCTGATACTCATTATCAAGTCCTTCCTTGAAAATAGAACTTGCACCGTTGGAGTTGGAAATGCAACTTCATGTGTCAAAAAATATTTACGCAGGTATTCCTCAAGGGTCAATTTTAGGCCCGCTTTTTTACATCATCTATACCAACGATTTCCCTTGCTTTTCCGAGGATACAAATGTTCTCGCAGCCAGCTACGCTGATGATACAGCGATAGCCACCAAGTCTCTAAACCCAGAGTATGCCTTGTCAAGAATTCAGGCCAAAATCCCTGCTATTGAGGGGTGGTGCAGTCGCTGGAAAAACGTGCATTCAGCCAGAAAAGTCCAAGATTCTACTCATTCGAAATCGCAGACAGAGGAAACGGGTCAGAACTGAGAACTGAGGTTAAACTTTTTGGCAAAATCATCCCTACAGTTGATAAAGCTAATTACCTGGGAGTTACCCTTAACAAGAACTACAATTGGAAGGATCATATGCTTAGAGTAAGCGGAAAAGCACACGGGATCATTTTCAGGCTTTTCCCTCTCCTAAAGAATGAAAACCTCACCCTCAGACTGAAAAAGAGGATTTATGAAACTGTAATCCGACCCATTCTCACGTATGCTTCCCCAGCCTGGGCAAACTACAAAGCAAACGAAATTAGCAAACTCCAAGTGCTTCAAAATAAGGTGCTAAGAATCATCACAAAACCTCCTTACTATGTTCGGAATAGGACCCTCCACTCCGACCTGAAAATAGATACTATTCAGGACTACCTCAGCAGAATAAACAACAACTTTTTTAATAATATTATCAATGTGAATCCCGCTAATTTCACGGACATTCTTATCTACGAAATCCTGGTTGAAGACAAAAACCTCCGCCCATTTGCCGTCCACCTCTTGAGTTCAGAATTCCAAGTTCCACTTTTCTGGTTTTCAAGCAGCATCGATCGGGGTCAGTTTCTGGGAGGCTGACCTCCCACGTGACTGGCTCCGACGAATGAACACTTAGTATTCGGGCTATCCTAGACAGGTCATCCGAAGTTTCTTTCTCCGGCCCCTGCTTGGCGGATTCCATCCAAGTTGTAGCAGTACAGGAGCAAAGTGCTTCTTTTTCTCTTTCTCTCTCTCCAGCACACTTCTACCTCCACGAGAGAAAATTTCTTTCAGGTTTCTACTCTGTCAGGCTTCACATGGGATCGCATCAGGAACTGGCAACAGCAGGATTTTAATTTACTGCTGAAAGCCAGTATAACTCTAAAGTCCCAAAGTTCCAAAGAGTACTGCGTCATTGAGTGAACACGTGCAACTGCATTCTGCCGGAAAAAATGTCTAATACGAAAACCGAACAGCGAATCAACATTAAATTTCTGGTGAAACTGAAGAAACTAGCCAGGGAGGAAGCCTTTCAAATGTTAACCGAGGCTTGTGGATATGAATCTTTGTTTCGTGCACGTGTGATTGAATGGAATAAGCGCTTTTCAGTGTGAAGGAGCAGTGTGGGAGATGATGAACTTGCTCGGCGTCCAAGGGGGCCTCCAGGATGTTCATCGTGATTGAGTGGGTTCCCAGTAGTCAGACTGAATCAATACTACTACATTGAAGTACTAAAAAGACTTCGTGAAAATATTAGGAAAAAAGACCACAGTTGTGGAGTGATAGAGGGATGTTACACCAGACAATGCGCCCGCTCACATGGCCCTATCTATCGAGCAGTTTCTAACAAGCAAAAATATTACTGTGATGGGGCATTCCTTATTCACCTGATTTGGCTTCATGCGACTTTTTTATTGTTTCCTAAAGTTAAATCTTGCTTAAAGGAACCCATTTTTACCACAGTTGAAGAGGTTCAGGCAAAAACGGAGAATCTCCTAAAGGGCCTTCCAAAAACGTCGTTCCATAACTGTTACCAGCAATGGTACACCGAATGCAGAAGTGTGTGAATGCTGAAGGGTATTACTTTGAAGGTGATAATGGCAAGGAGAACTGATTCTGTGAGTATAGTGATATATTGGACCAGTATCGTTACTTTTGTGTCACAAATTGTATAAGTTACAATTTAATGTCACTAGATTGTAGAGGTAAGAGAGATCGATGGAACCATGCTTAGAAATATTAATTTCCATCAATTTAACTTTCGAAAGAATAAATACAAACTGCTTACAACATTTGTTTTTAAACAATTTATAAATGTTCTCAATTACATATATTTTTGCCTTTTGAATATTAACCAAATATAACGCAATGAAATAATAGAGAACTATTTCTGTAACCACTTTAAGCTGATAATCCAAATTCTGCACTATGTCTGAGAGGATACCGTGACTAATATTGTAACGATTATACAGTATGAATTCAAATGCCTCCCAAAAGTTTCAAAAAAATGTATGTACCTTAATGTTTTCTGTTGAAATGGCATAGTCGATCCAAAATAAGTTTTGGAAAAATAAAGTTAAAATAAAAATAACCCCTGATGTTACATCGGAGACCGGGAACCACCAGCGGCCGAGTGGTAAGGATGTTGAACAGTAGTATTTCGTTTTGGGGTTTAAATCACGGCTAATGGGTTGCCTACATGAGCGTTTACGTGGTTTTCCCCATGTGTAACGTGTATACGAATCAGTTTCTCTTAAAAATCATCCACGAAGGCATCCCTCTCCTTAGGCATTTAGTAATTTGCCACAATTAAACATTCCTTAACATACATCAGAAAACGTATGATGTTCATTTACGCAGTAATTTAAATTCCATTCTGCAGAAGGAAAAAATTGTGTATCAAAGATATTTGGCTAATCTTGACGTGGTATAAGTAAACAGTACAGTTTGAAATGTCTTTAATCTTAAAGAAATGAACTTTCAAAGATGAACGCAATTCCTTTTTGGAAGTATTAAAACGTATATCTGTGTACTAATTTATATTTTTTTTTCTGTAATTTAGTCATTTGCTATCTAACCTTTTCCGAACAAGTGTTACTGATTTACCTTTACATCAGCCGCAAGAAGGCTCAGTATAAAGGTTAATCTTCAGAAATCTATACATTTTCATGAGATTGTATTAGGAGTAAATGTTTTTATACTTATTGTTGTATAATGAAAACTATCTGATTCTTATTAAAATTCTGAATTTCAGTATTGCAAGTGAATGCCAGTGAGTTAGAAATAAGTAATAGTTAGAAAACACATGAGAATGATTAAATGACAAACATCGGTTGTTAGCAAATGCTAAAATGTTTTACTGATAGTAAAGGTTATATTGATTTGGAACCCATCTGAGGCCAAATTGTATTTAAGACCGAAAGAATATTTTTCAAACTCTTTTAAATAAGTATATACATAAGTTAATCTATATATGTGCCCAAAAGAAGCGGAAGTTCAGGCATGAAGTAGCAGGGACACTTCAGAATTATTGAGGAATGTCTTTTCCTCAAGGTATACGCATTTTGAGGTTTCGAAATAAATAGTTGAGACTGGTTACCTAAGCGTGTGTATCACTTATGACCTAGTTAATGAAGGTTTTCTCCATACAACAAATATTAGGTCAAATAATTTTTTTTAGTTAGCGGGTATTGTAGCATACATGATGATGGCGATATCGAGATTTTATTTGCATTTCAGTACCGCATTTTGGAAATGTATGTTAATCCTATAAAGGCTTATTGTAAAAGATCTTGCTTTTAATAATGAACGGATTCTCTCAATGATACCTTATGTAAAACCTAATGCAAAGGTTTGAAGCAGATTTGAGATTCATCAGATGCTGGGTAATGTTATTGTTAAAGCGCAACTTATTTTTCCAAATGTTTAGGTTTTGTTTTTAATTTAAAAATTGAGGATTTGTATGCCAGTAAATTTAAAGCGCTATAAATGAGTTTTATCTACATAAATTGTTACTTGTTCCTCTGAATTTATTTCCGAATTTTAGTTACAGGCCAAATTCAGGAGCTATCTACTGATTCGACTTCAACGGTCTCTCCAAGTTCACCTGCGGTACTAGTTTTTCCGGCCGAAGTGCACCAAACAGAGGTTAAGTCGGGATCTTGGTGCTCTTCTGGAGATGAAGCAATTTCTGAGACGGTGAAAGTCTCAGGTCCTGGAATTTCAAATAATCAAGATTAATTTTGATCGTGATTGCATGGTAAAAAGCTCATGTATGTCATATATCCCTGTATTTTGAAAGGAATTATTCTTATTTGCAAAAAGTATTAATGAAATTGTCTTTGCTTTATTTTCGCTTAAAAAATGCAGTACTTTAGTATTATCCCGTTGATAGTGAAACTTTACCTACGCATCGCGATTTAACACCATTTATGAGTAAGCATGATTTCACAAGACATAACACCTGCACTTTCGTTTGATATAGCCTCAATTGTTTCTCGATAAGTGATCTGTTGTTTTTATGAACAAGGATCTAAATTAGCTGCTATTACTGCATTTGTTTATTGCATATTGAAAACAAAATTAGTTCGAGAGCAGTAGAATCACATTTTTGATGCACTTAGGTTCATTTACAGCTAGAGAGAATTAACGTCTGTTGAATGCGGAATACAGTAGCTGAATATTACCGACAAAACAGTAATAGATTAGAACAATCACCTGCATGAAGTTTTTACTTAGCTTTTTAAACAGAGCTTCCGGTAAAATCGGTGGACTCGATCGGTGGAAAATAATAGAAATCGAGAGCCTTTTTACGAAATATAAAAAAAGCAGTGCGTCGAACATTTCCGTAGCACTGGGTATTTGATGAATTGCGCAAAGACTGACCAGTGTATAATTGTAAGAGTTGTTGTTGTCTTGTCCATGAACAACGGTTGCCAGAGCCTACTCCGAAGAGAGATTGGACTTCTATTTTCCACCCCAAAATTTGAGAGAGAGAGCACCCCGGGGGGGGATCCGGAGGTCTCCTAACACTCTCCTCTCCCACCAGTCCACACGAGAGAACTTTCGGCCTGCCCCGCATATTTAGAGTGCCGCCGACACTATACATTTACAAACATCCATATCTTACCCGGGACTCGAACCCAGGATCTTCAGTACCGTAGTAGGTTCCCCTAACCACTGTACCGTCTTGGCGACAATTGTAAGAGTCGCAGAGGGAAGTGCTGCTCAGGATTTCGCAAAAAGGACTGATTTCGTGGTATCTCTGCAAACGTTGATGTTTCGATGGTAGCCAACTTTAACTACAGACGGCATAATGTGCAAGTACCAACGTTCCAAAACTAAGGTTACTTACATATTATCGGAAATACCCTAGCTCACTTTGGAGAATTTTATAGAAGACATTTGTTTTTATTCTAAAAAAAATTGTACAATACATGCATTTTCTACTTTTCAACTGTATATTTATTTCAAAAGGCAATCGTAAAATTAGCAACAAACGGATTTTTGCTTTTGCTGCGATCACTTTGAGAAATAATTCGAAGCATTGTCCCTTTAGCGATTTTGCGCAAAATAATACATTCCTACATAAATTTCATTCCTCTTTCTTCTATTGTAGGAAACTAGTACAAGCATAAATTTTAAAATCGAGTTTCAGACACAAAATAACTGTAGTTTTTCTATAAAAGCCGTTGGAACTTAGAATACAACAAGAAGAACGCATACCAAAATGGCTAGGTTTCAAACTGAATAATTGTCATGGGCATGATTGCCTGAATAATTGTTATGCACGTGGTTACCAGTGCTTGTTGTATTGTGAAGCTTTGGCGATTTATACTAAGGTTGTTACGATAATAAGTAAGTACCAATTAAATAGCTTAATTCGTTTAGTACCTAAGTTAATGCTAATAAATTTAAACTTTTACATAATCGAAAATCTTCGGGTAAAATAAATCGTAAAATTTGTATTCCTCAGACTGTGCATAATCCCTCAACAATTTATTGCCAACCAGCAACCGAATGAATACGAAAACTGAATACCGGTATCTCATCCATGGCTCGAATTCTGGGGAAGAGACCGACTGCGTACTTATCTGATATTTTCTCCAAAAGCGATTAGTCAGTTTTCCTCAGTCCTTTACGAAAGCATCTCTTCTTTGAACAATGCAGGCTTTGCGTGTTTTCTGTAGTAAATTGAACAAAACTTAGTGTAAAACCTTAACCAAATGTTAGTTTCTTTCAGAAAGCTATAATTCTAGTTAAGATATTTCTAATAAAAAATTTTTAGGGCTTGAAAAATTTTCACTTTCTAACGCAGTGCTTTATTGTAGTTGGACATACAGGTGGTAAAAAAAAACAGAACATTGAGAACTTTCTGTTGGCATAAATTAGTCTCATTTTTAGCATAATGAAACTCGGCAACATCAAGAACAAACGATCGCCGAATGATATATATTAGCGAGAATGGATTCTGACGGTATGCTGGATGGATGGAGGTTTTCTGGTGCAAAAGTCTTAAAAAAATTTTGTACTTACGTGGTACTTGTGCTTAATTTCTTTTTCAGCATGTTACGTTCTCCTTTTGGAGCCATTTATTACGTAGTAGATAAAACTGGACATATGTGAGACTTATGAATGAGTCTCTTGTAAGTTCTTTATTTCAATACTTCAATTAAAATGTTTGTAAAGACTGTCAGCTTTGATGTTTTACTCTGTTTGAGCCAAGCAAACTCTCTAACTTGTTAACTAAAGATTTCATAGTTATTCTAAATTTTGATTCTTTTATAAAAATGTGCTAAATAGAGGATACCGTATTTAAACGCCTTAACTGTGTTAAATACACAAACTATCAGTTTAACGAATTTTTAATGCAAAATTTGGTACTTTATCTGAGGTAAACTATCTCTTGTATAAACCGTTGGTATTGGATTTTTAAATTTTGTGCTAAAATTAAAATTAAAATTTACCTCTATTTTTTCCTAGGTATTGCCACGGAATTCTGTTTCCCAGCGCATGGAGAGTATTACTGATGTTTAATATTTTAACTGTGTAATTTTAGTGTGCAATAAAGTCATTTTATCAAGTTTTGTACCATTCTTAAAAGAATATATTAGTTTTCATTTCTTTAAGTGAATGCAAGCCAATGTTCATTTAACGAGGCCATCGCTTAAGCAGATAACTTTTATATTGGAAAGTCTGAACAATTCAAGGCAGAAAAAATGTACATGAATATGTACAGTTTATCATTGAACATATTACTATTACCATAGTTGCCAATAGTTGGCTTCAAGAAGATTTCATTCTTGAGACAATAGAACTGCTTTTATAATTTAATCACACTTAGACTTAAGAAATGTCCTTATCGCAATAAGTTGCATCAGGCTATGTAGTCATCTGATTTTACCTTACCAACAATGAATTTGTATGCCAGATGATTAATAATGATTAATAGTCATACATTTACCTTAACTTGTGGTTTAATTATACAACATCACGGCTGAACTCATAGGTCTTCCAACCTTGAATTCTCAATTTTTAGGAGATATATACGAATCTACTCATCTAGAAATACACAATAGTAAAAAATTAGCTGTTAATATTTTTATGGATAGACAGTTAAAAAAACTAAAAAAGTAAAGAGATCTGGAGATACAGCATTATTTGGTTCAAGATGCTATAATAATATCGTGTCCCATGGAGACCCCATCACAAATGATAAAACGTTAAAATCAGTTGAACACCTCTGTAATATGAAATTTATTTGTCCAAACAGCAAAAAGGCTCAGAAAAATGTGCCTTAGTACATAGGTTCTAAATACACTTAAGCTAGAACTTATACATCAATATGTGATAGAAAAAATTATCACATATTGTGCAGGAACTTGAGCCGCTCCTTTTGACTAAAAAAACCCACAGATTGTCTCCAAAACATAAGAATACTTGAATTAAGCGTTTTAAGATTCTATAAAACATGAAATGCTGAACTGTGCTCCCTGGCGATCTTTCCCTCTCTTTTCCTTGTTGCCGAAAAGGAATTATCTAAAATACGTCTTCCAGCTTCACAGAAATGGCAACTATGGTTGCCTAGCAATATATTCCTTAATGTAAGAATCTCAGGTCAGTCCTCAAGAAACTTACGCTTCTGTAAAAATGAATTTTAAATTCTTCACGCAAGTCTGTCACCTCTCGAGTATAGTTCAGATTACTACAATAATGGAGCAAAAGCAGAAAATGGGGTATGATATACACGAAAGAACGTTGAACATATTACAGATTTTAATAACCCGGTATAGATGTAAATATCGTGATGAAAGTACCAGCTATGAGACATCAGTCTTCAAAAGTCAAACATAAGCTTCAAGTTCAGACTGAGAGGTAATAGAATACCAACTAATTCAATTATATATATTTTCATAGTATTACATATGCACAATCTCAGTAGATTGCAGAGCCATGCCTATATATTGTCTCACCTGATGCAAAGAAGTAAATGTTGCGCCTCTAAATGCGCTCAAACTACAGTGAAACCTCAGTGACGATAAAGTTCTTTAGGTGAGCTTTCTATGTAATTGACCAATAGTTCACAATGCGCAAATAAAAACTGATATTGAATATCTCTTTTCTAAGTTGACCTGCTACAGGTGACCACAACCATTAGAAACCCCAAATAGCACAGTAACGTCGTAACGACGTTGCAAACTCGTCGCGGATGTCGTTGCAACAACGTTGCAATATGTCGTCTTTAAGATGCCCAGATGTCCGCGAAACTGCACTGTTATGCAACCGTTGCAAAGACGTCTTTATTACGTCTTTGCAGATGAGGTTTTTGTCGCATAGACGTCGTTATTGCGTCTTTTGCAGGTGATATTTTGGTTGTGAAAGCATCGTATCACGACGTCTTAAAGACGCATAAATGTTCGGCAAATTCCACCTTTTTGCAACAGTTGAGAAAATGTCGTTATTATGTCCTTGTGTTACATATTCATTTATGCAGAAAAATAAGCTTAATAATTAATCTATTTTTATTCTTTTTTTAAATTTTGTATTCCTTGTATTTATCTAAAGTTTAAATATTTTATCATTTTCTGAAAACCAGAAGATAATACAATTTTTTCTCTTTAGACTAAATATGCATAATTAATAATAGCCTTAATTCTTTTCAGTACTTAAACTATATTTTTAAATAACTAAAATTCTAAAGATTTCATAATTTAATAAAGATTTAAGATTCCATAATTTTTTTTCCTTAAGTGAGAGTAATTATGAAAGTGGTTATTATAAATATATAACATTAATAGTAGGTTTTAAGTAACTAAAACTCAATTAGACATAAATAAAAGTAAAGATATATATGTGGGTAAAAAAAGAGCGTTTCTGATAACAGCATTATCACATTTATTTCTGTTAAATCTCAGAGACATTGAAAATTGCCCCTGTCATGATAAATTAGGAAGCGGTTCCTTAAGGTAACATAATCAGTATTTTACCTTAACTCAAGTAAAAATTTATTCGCGTTTAACTGTAAAAAATATAACCATTAACTTCTATATCTCCAAGATATGCAAATAAAAGACAGTATAAAGTAGTTAATAAATGTGATCAAAAATATTTCATACAGAAATATACCTAAATCCAATAACTTCCCATATTCATATCTAAAATGAAATAATAGCCTAACAAACAACATGCATGACAGCACTCTTTAAGAAAAAACATGAACTAGTAGTGTTTGAAAGTATAAATAGCAAAAGGAAGGTAACAGAACTAAAATTTCCAATAAATAAAATATTATTTGTGTTTTTTAAATAGTAAGCAATTAAAAGTGCAATAATTATGGATTGTAGTATTTACAATAGTAAAGCTGATGTTTCTTAACACCATTTCTTTCAATCATATGCTAATGTATTTACTTACTTTTAGTTTCTAAATTTTAGAATAGTGGTCGATCACAATGATTATTTCATGCACTTTTTATAATACTGTACAGAAATAATTTAAATAATATATTATGCGATAGTCAGCCAAGTATGCTAAAGTAAGCTCTTGGTTAAATAGCACACGATGAAACTTTTTGTTTCTATTTATTATGAATTTCTTTGCTATCACAAGCACATAAAATGTAAGCGAAGAATATACTTAATAAATATACTTAAATTAAGAATAAAATATACTTAAATGACTTACTTAATATACGTATTTAAGTATAATGAATATACTTAAATTTAATAAAGAACAAAACCTAATTTCCAACATTCGAGATAATCTAATAGACATACATAACGGCAATATTTAAAAAAACGCGAATTACACAGTGTTTGGAAGGATAGATATCAAACAACAAGTAATAAAACTGCAATTTGCTATCATTAAAAAAATATTTAGAATTTTTCAATATTACACAATTAAATATGGCATAATTACAGATTACAATATTTCATAGCAATGCTAATGTTTCCTTTATAAGGTATTTCTCCCACTTCCCTAGCGTGCCTTCGTGGTGTAACGGTAGCACGCTGGGCAGGTATTCCAGAGGTCCGTGTGTCGATTCCCGGCGAAGGCGGTTGCAATTTTTCATCTATCCGGCTTCGGAAAAAAAAAAAAAAAAAAAAAAAAAAAAAAAAAAAAAAAACTAAGACTTACAAGTGGCGCCGAACTAAAAGGGTTGGATGAGTGATTCTCTCACCCAGGATTTGGCGACTAGGTCCCTAAGCCTAGTCGCTCTTAAAAAGGGAGTATATAAGGCATTTCTCCACTTCCCTAGCGTGCCTTCGTGATGTAACGGTAGCACGCGGGGCCGGTATTCCAGAGGTCCGTAGTTCGATTCCCGGCGAATGCGGTTGCATATTTTTCATCTTTCCGGCTTCCAAAAAAAAAAAAAAAAAAAAAAAAAAAAAAAAAAACAACCTAATGACTCTACACCTTAGCACTATTTTTTCGATCATATGCGCAAAGTCTGAGCACCAACCTGTATCATGAGCACAATAATCGATTAATATGAATGATATACGATATAGTCGAATCCGTGTATCCAAATATTCCACGACGTTATAACCGAATCCGTGTATCAAATCTAACGATAATCCCTGTATCCAAATATTGCACCGCTGGAGCCACTGAAGATTGGAAAACAACAATGTAATTTTAATCACCGGAAAATCATACAACAACAAAACAGAACAGTATTTAACTGTATGGACCATTTTAGCACGTTGCAAGCAGATATTCACAAACAAAATAAGCAGAAATTCGGCATTACATCGATGATTTCGCCTCAATTCAAAATAAACTGCCATCATTATATTTTTGTACGTCGTTCTCTTTCTGTATTGAAGCTCTCCAGTATTTAATTCTGGCGGGGAATTACAAAAGCGTGAAGAAAATATTTCATGAAAATAAAAAGGAGTTTGAAATTCATTGAGTCAGTTAACTGACTTGTTCGAATTTGGCAGCTAAGCCAAAGCGCGCAAGGCCTCGACCTCAGATGTTCGTTTATATAATCATCTAGTAAAATATAGTACATGGAATGTCAATCTCTCGAACAGCAGTTTCAGTGCAACTTTTCAGCGGATTTATACGATGTGCATTAAACCATTTAGACGGTTCTTCTGATAATTTAATAGAATCTTTCTTAAATGGCACTAGAAGAATTATTTCAACTGAATAGAATTATGAACAATGTTCACAAGATTACGAATTTTTACAAAAAAATATTTATCGGGCTCGCTAAAACATTTTAATGTGAATGTCGCCTAAACATCCGCGTAATTTGTAATGTCCTGAGTGTACCGTATACTAGGATTAAATCAAGCATTTTTAAATGCATGAAAATGGTAACAAACAGGGTAACAAACAGTTCATCAAGAACTTTTATAGGTAAGGAATTTCGTATTTTTGTTCACAGTTTCTCTAATTTTGATGTCAACATTTATTAGCAACTTATCAAAGCCATTAATTTTGTCGTTTTCCATTAAAATTGTTAATATTTCTTTCTCCTTTTCCATTAATTTTTCCGTTCTGCTTCTCTTGGCTGTCGGTGCGTTTTCCGTCATATATATTGGACAGACGTTAAAAATGCATAGATATACATCGTCTTTTAACATTGG